GAGCTCACAGTTTAGTGGGAGAGACAGACAAGCAGGGAATTGCAGCACAAAGTGGGATTGTGCCTTAGGAAGGCTGTGGGAACAAAGAAAAGGAGTCCTAGCCTAGCCTAGCTTAGCCGTGGGAATCAAAGTTGGCCTCCTGAGGAATAACTGAATAAAAATAAAAAAGACGAGGGAGAGCCAGATACATGAAGGGGCCAGAATGGCCAAAAGCATTCTAAGCAGAGGAACAGTATGATTAAGCTCCCAAAGTTTAAATCGGTGGTACTTCCCTTCAGTGTGTCAGTTTCTGAGAGCCTGAAACACACACCATAAGAGAGGAAAAAGCAACACTCAGGATTAAGACCAGCCTAGAGGGTTTACGAAGAGCTTCACAGACCTGGCTAAGGAGTGTGGATTTTTTTCTAAGATTTTATTTATTTATTTGAGAAAGCAAGCACAAGCTGGGTGGAGGGGCAGAGAGGGAGAAGCAGACTCCCCACTGAGCAGGGAGTTCCATGACTCAGGGGCTTGATCTCAGGACCCTGAAATCATGACCTGAGCCAAACACAGACGCTTTACCCCGAAAGGGATGGAGCCACCCAGGCGCCCCAGGAGAGTAGATTTTTATCCTGAGGGCAATGGCAACTGCTGAAAGGCTCAGTAGTACAGCCTGAATAAGTTCTGTAGTAGAGAGGATGGATTGGAGTAGAAGACATGAAAGGTGGGGGTTGGGGAGACAGTTTAAAAGGCTATTATACTACTCTGGTGAAAGACGATGTGGGCTTAGACTAAGGTATTTGCAGTGGGGATGGAGAGAAGTGGGTGGATTTGAGAGACACTTCTGGAAGTGGAAACAACAGAACATGGTGATTCATTAGAAACGGAGAGGGAAGAAGAGGTCAAGGGATGACATCTCGGTCTCTGGCTTGAACAATTGGATGGATGTTGGTGCTATATCATGAGAAAGAGAAGAAAGGGACAGAAACCAGGTTTGAAGGAGAAGATTATAAATTCGATTTGGAATCCACTGAGTTTAAATGCTGGTGATATACCGAGGTGGGATTGGCCAGTGAGCTGTCAAATCTTGTGGTCAGGAACTTAGGGGAGAGGTACCAGCTGGAAATATAGACCTGAAAGGTCTTTGCGTATAGGAGGTAATGGAAGGCATGGGAACAGATAAAGTCATACAAAGACTGTGCAGGATGAAAAGAAAAGAGGGCCTAGGGCAGGATCCTGAAGAAGACCGATACTTAAAAACCAGTTAAGGAAGGAGAGAGCCCATGACAAAACCAACAGAGAAACAAGAAGACAAGGAAAAGACTTCAAGCAAGATGGGATAAGTGATGTCAAATGCTGCTGATATAAGTCAAATAAGGACAGAACAGCATCCTTCAGATCCAGTAACAAGGTCCTCCTATCAAGGAGGCTTTATGGGTGTTAAGGTCTGGCTACAGTAGGTTGAAGTTTGGGACAATGGGGGAGGGGATTCTGAGAAGTGAACCAGGGTGTGTAGACGAAACTTTCTGAAAGTTTGATAGGGAGAGAGAGGCAAAGAAAAAATAGGATAGTGCTAGAAATAGCATGGGGTTGAGGAATGGTGTATGGGGTGGGGGAGTTGTCTTCGGGTGGGTGGGTGTGTGTGCACGCGTGCGAGTGCACACATGCACAGTAGAGGCAAGAGTCTTTTTTATTTTTTATTTTTTTTAAGATTTTATTTATTTATTTTGACAGAGAGAGAGAGAGAGATCACAAGTAGGCAGGGAGGCAGGCAGAGGGAGAAGGAAGCAGACTCCCCGCTGAGCAGAGAGCCTGATGTGGGACTCGATCCCCGGATCCTGAGATCATGACCTGAGCTGAAGGCAGAGGCTTAACCCACTGAGTCACCCAGGCACCCAAGAGTCTTTTTGAAATGTTGATGCAGAATGGGCCAAGAGAGAAGAAGACTGAAGGTATAGCTGAGAGCAGGGATAGTCAACAGAGCAGGGGACCCTGAGAAAGCATAACATGAAATGATTGAGAGCACAGGTGCAAGAATTGGCCTTGCTCATCTGGGTGTTGTTATCCACAGAGTTAGTTGGCTGTTGCCCAGGCAGTCAGAAGTTACCCACAAAGACCATTAGCCTCTCACTCAGATATTATCCCCACAGATGCCTGTTAGCCAGGCTCACTCCAGTGTTACCAGTAGAAATGTAGATTTTACCCACATTAGTCTTTTTTTTTTTCTTTTTTTGAGATATATTAGAGAGAAAGAGAGTATATAGGCACACAGAGGGAGAGGGGGAGGGAGAAGCAGACTCCCGGCTGAGCAAGGAGCCCGGTGCAGGACTCAATCCTTGGACCATGGGACCATGACCTGAGTGGAAGGCAGACGTTCAGCTAACTAAGCCACCCAGGCGCCCAACCCACATTAGTCTTACCTGTTACCCATACACAGACCTGAGTGCTAATGCTCGCTCAGGTGCTGCCCACTGAAAAAGAGATGTCACCCACAGTTACTTGAACATTGCCCACATTATTTAGATGTCACTCATCCACCAAACACACTTGCTTTCGTTTTATCATCCACACATAGATATTTCCCATGATCCCCTAAACAACCTTTTCCAGATACTACTCATAAAAATCACAGGTGTTACTCTCACACATTCAGATATTATCCACAAAGACCCAAATGCTACCTGTGTTCGCTCAGGTGCTCAGTTACTGTACTCGGGTCAGATTCGTATCTCAGCTAACATCTTAACGTGTTAACATCTCACGTCCATACGCACTTAATTATTGCCCACACATACTTGGATATTACTTCTGCTTACTCAGCTGCTACCGTCATCACTTGGATACTCCCCCATTCACATTCAGACCTCTGGATGTAATCCATGTTTCCTGAAGTTGTTATCTGCAAAACGAGATGTTATCCACAAACATATCTACAGATACTACTCTCGTTCAGTCATATGTGACAACTGGCCTTGCTCTTGCTCTTGCTCACCACAGCAGCACCTACACTAACATTGGAACCAATGTTACAACACTTGCTTGGATATTATCTAAACCTACATGTATCCCCCACTCAATCAGGCATTACCTACAGACACCTAGCTGTTACCCTTCTCACACCTTGTCCACAAAAATAGGTATTACTCTCACCCACCCAGGTATTATCTCAAAAACTAAACTGTTACCCAATTTTCACTCTGATATTAACTACACATCCTTCCACATTATTTCTGCTCCCTCAGTTAGTACCCAATATGCCCAGCTATTATCTACAATCAGATGCTCTCCGTGCTCCCACAGACACATGGGTATTACCTTAATGTCTGTGTTCGTGGGTGACCAGATCTAACATACCAGTGGAAGGCAGATTTGAGGCATCAGCAGCTTCAGTGTCATTTCTTATAAAGTCCTGATTTTTGTTTTACGGCACATTATCTGGATTTTTGTGCTTATACTTCTCTGCCATCATCTGGACAGAACAAATGCAGATTCCCTAGACCCCAGAAGCAGAAATGAGCTGTCACAGTCTTCTGAGTTCTCTGGCTCAGCAGGACGATGCCCACAGGTCATATCTATAATATTAGATAATAGGCATGATATCTGCCTCTCCCATTCTTTCACCTCTACCTTAAGTTGCCAGTTGTTGAAGCCACTGTGATCACTCCTATTCCACCACACAAATGCATAGGGATGCATAAATACAGACAGAAATACACACACAAGTCTTCCTTCCAATTGCTTTTTTGTCACTTTTGAGAAAACTATTAGACTTTTATTTATTTATGTATGTGTGTATTTAAGTAGGTTCCATGCCCAGCATGGAGCCTAACACAGGGCTTGAACTCACCACACTGAGATCAAGACCTGAGCTAAAATCAAGAGTTGGATGCTTAACAGAATGAACCACCCAGGCATCCTACTAATAGACTATTTTTACAGAAGTTTCAAGTTTACAGGAAAACTGAATGGAAAGCACAAGGAGTTCTCTCTCTCTCTCTCTCTCTCTCTCACACACACACAATTTCCCCTATTTATAATATTTATATTAAGGCAATACATTTGTTATATTTGATAACCTAATATTGATATATTGGCAACTAAATTCCACAGTGTACATTAGGGGTTCACTCTTTTTGTTATATATTCTATGGGTTGTTTTTTTAAATATTTTATTTATTTATTTGACAGAGAGAGATCACAAGTGGGCAGAGAGGCAGGCTGAGAGAGAGGGGGAAGCAGGCTCCCTGCTGAGCAGAGAGCCGGATGCAGGGCTCGATCCCAGGACCCTGGGATCATGACCTGAGCCAAAGGCAGAGGCTTTAACCCACTGAGCCACCCAGGCACCCCTATTCTATGGGTTTCAACAAATGTGTAATAACATCTAGCTACCATAGTACCATACAGAATAGTTTCACTGCTCTAAAAATCCTGTGCTCTATCTTTTCACCCTCCTTCCCCCTCCTCAGACTCCTAGTTCTAAGATTTCTTTTTCACTTCTCCTAATGGTTCAATGGCAAAGACTTGGAGAGATAGCGGTGGCTGGAAGGTGATAGCTGGGAATGCCCAGCAAAACCGCAAAGTGCTGGGCAATTTTACTGGGACTCTAGTTTTCTGGAGACCCACGCAAATTGGGACCTTCATAAGGGTGGGCATAGTCTCATTTTTCTGCTCCACCAAGTTCAAGGACACACATGGGACACATCAGTTGGATGAATGAATGAGAAAGGTGCTTTCTGTACTTTAGAGTGCTGTACCAACTTGATTGATTCAAGAATTAGGAGCTGAAGGAGTGTCTGGGTGGCTCGTTCATTTAAACGCCCGGCTCTTGATGTCAGCTGAGGTCATGATCTCAGGGTCCTGGGATGAAGCGTGGGCTTTGGGCTCTCTGCTCAGTGGGGAGTCTGCTTAAGGATTCTCTCTCTCCCTCTCCTTCTGTCTCGCCCCCCTTCTTTCTCTCTCTTTCTTTCTCAAATAAATAAATTCTAAAAAAAAAAAAAAGAAGAAGAAGAAGAAGAAGAAAGAAAAATAAAAAAGCAAGAACTATTTGAAAAGAGACATCCAGGGAAGGATCTGAGAAAGATGATAGAACTAGAGAGAGTAAGGAAAGGGGTGGGTTGGGGGAAGAAGAGTGCACTGAGAAGAGACACAAAAAGTACGGGATAGACTACCAGCTCTTTTTCTGGGTCCAAGGACCTCTCTGACAGAGCTCTCCCTCATAAATGTTCTTTATTTACACACACACACCCTTCAGATTTGCTACACATAAGCCTTCCTTGCAGACAGGGTGATATGTGTCTCCCGAGAAACAGAGACAGAGAGAAGAGGGCATGCTGGAGCTTTAGAGGCACAGAGGTGAAGCATGAATGGAGAAAGACAAAGCAGGTGCATTTGTGTGTAAAGTGACAGTTTCATTCAAAATCCATTAGCCAGCATGTGTGAACACCTCCCATATGCAGAAAATATTACTCTAAGTGTCAAGGGTAGGCTGAAGAACAAGATGGGCCCTGCCCCCGTCCTCAAGAAGCTCAGAGTCCAGTGAGGGAGATAGAGAGTTAAACACAATACAGTGAGCAATGCCAGACTGGAGTACAGAGAGGCAGGAAGAGGCACTGAGATTGAGATTTGATTGGGAGGAGGCAGCATTATGAATGACAGAGGGGTGAGGAATTAGTAGGAGGCAGAGCATTTTAGAGATCTGGAGACTCGGCTGCCATTCTAATTCAGCATCTTACTTACCTGTGTGATCTGAGCAAGTAATGTCACTGCTGGGTTCTGTTCAAGGATCTCTTGTAAACAGTGTGCACTGGATGCCTGAAACCATTTCTGAGTAAGTTGGTTATTGTTATGAAAACAGTTTAATTCAGAGCCTATGTCAAGAGTCAATGTATGGGGTTGCAAAAGGGGGGCTACCCCTCTGGGCCCTTCCTTCCCCACAACCTGAAAGGCTCTGTCTCTGCCCTCTCTCCCTTCCAGCTCTAGTCTCCCTCATGCTGAGGCCATGGGTTTGAATGACTGAGTCCAGTTTAATTCAATTAAATTTCATTTGGGTCTGCTTGGCTGTGATGAATCCATCCCCCAATAGACAATGACACAAATGAATGGGGTCAGCCCTCTGTCTAGCCCAACAACACTAGTGTCGCCCCTGTGAGCTCCCACAGCACTTTGTATATTCTTCAACGTCACTCCTTATCACACAGTGTGGCACTTAAATCTGTCATATATCCAAGTTTCCCTCTAGATCATGGGCTTGCACATGGCAGGGAATTTGTCATGTTCATCTCTTTGTCCCTAGTGCCTAGCACAAAGGGAGTCCTCTGTACATGTTTGTTGAGTGAGAATGAATGTTTGGAGATAATTAAAATACAAGGCAGAAAAGAAAAAGCATTCTAATAGATACCTAAGGAACACGAATGGGTTAGAGGAAGGAGATTAACTCCAAATGAGGCATCTAGAAAGGCCTTACAGAAGAGGGGGCCATTCATCCGAGTCTTGAAGGGCAAGAGCAAATAGGAATTTACCAGATACAGAAAATGAGTTTGTGATGGGGGCTGGTGAAATAACATTCCAGGCTGAGAAATCCATGTTAGCGAGGGAGGAAGTCATGAGTGTGCATGAAGCCTTCAAGAAACTGAGTCATCGGGTGGCTTAAGTGGGTGCTTTGCAAGAGGAGATGAGCGGGAGGAAGAGGACAGTTCTCAGAGGATCTGGAAGACGTGCCAGAGGAATGCAGACAGTACAGAGCAGGTGAAGGGGTTTGATTTTTTTTGTGTGTGTTTTTTGTTTGTTTCATTTTTAGACAATAAGGACATGACCTGACCTGTGTTTCAAAAGGTGGTGGGTGGTCAACAGTGCCAAATGCTACAGGGAGATCAAGTAAAATAAGCTGAGAAGAGACCTTTGGATTTGGCAGTTAAATCTTCATGATCTTGGGAAGAAGTGTCCAAATGGTCATGGAGGAGACAGATGGGGCACTGGACTATAATGGACTGAGGGGTGAATGAGGAGATCCAGATAATCCTTTCAAGAAGTTGAGCTGTAAAGAGAAGGGAGATTTTGGAGCAAAGCTTGAGAAGCGACAAACTTTCTCAAGGAGGAGTCAAGCCAATTTCACTAAGCCTCAAGGGGTTAGAAGCCTGGAGGATTCAAGTTCACCACCCACCGTGTGGGAGGAGGTGTTCCTGGGAGGCAGAGGGATTTAGCTGGGTAGCCCAGGTGGGGAATAAGTGGGCTTGGAGGGTCTGGCTGAGTGAGAGCCAGACTCCCTACCGCCACTTCTCCCTTTTCCTAATCCAGAATTGGAGCTGGCCATTAGGGTCACCCTTTATGCAGTGATCTTTCTGATGAGTGTTGGAGGAAATGTGCTCATCATCGTGGTCTTGGGACTGAGCCGCCGCCTGAGGACTGTCACCAACGCCTTCCTGCTCTCACTGGCAGTCAGCGACCTCCTGCTGGCTGTGGCTTGCATGCCCTTCACCCTCCTGCCCAATCTCATGGGCACGTTCATCTTTGGCACAGTCGTCTGTAAGGCGGTTTCCTACCTCATGGGTAGGTGAGACAACCCCCTGCCCCTCCCTTTCCTAAAGTCCTTGCCATACATAAGGGTCTTTCCCTGTGGGGGCTGAGAAAATCACACTGGTTGAGTGTGTGACACGAGTTTCCTAAGTGACCCCTTCCTCTTCCCTTGTTTAGGGGTGTCTGTGAGTGTGTCCACACTGAGCCTCGTGGCCATCGCCCTGGAGCGATACAGTGCCATCTGCCGACCACTGCAGGCACGCGTGTGGCAGACGCGTTCCCACGCAGCTCGTGTGATTATAGCCACATGGATGCTCTCTGGACTGCTCATGGTGCCCTACCCAGTGTACACCGCGGTGCAGCCAGCAGGAGCGTCCCGTGTGCTGCAGTGCGTGCATCGCTGGCCCAATGCACGTGTCCGCCAAACCTGGTGAGGGTGCTCATTACCTATTCCTAAGAATTCCCTTCTCCGTCTCCATCAGCTGCGTACTACCAGTCCCCAGAATCCTCCTCCAATACTCCAATTACCTTTCCGCTCCCACCACCCTGATTCCCATTTGGCGCCGCTCTCCAGTTCTCTAGCCCTTCCCAGCAGCACCCCCAAATCTTAGTTCTACCCCAGCCCGAAAGAATCCCTGGCTCTTCCTCCATCGCTGATTCCAGGTGGACAGATACTGTGTGATGTGCCCTGTGTCCAGGTCGGTACTGCTGCTCCTGCTTCTGTTCTTCGTCCCGGGTGTGGTTATGGCTGTGGCCTACGGACTCATCTCCCGCGAGCTCTACTTAGGGCTTCGCTTTGATGAAGACAGTGACAACGAGAGCCAGAGCCGAGTCCGAAGCCAAGAAGGGCTGCGGAATGGGGCGGGACCAGGTGCGTGAAATCCAGCCACCCACCCCCACCCCCACCCGGTCCCTGTCCTTGGGAAGCAGCGGCGGGGCCTAGACAGGGTGGAGCAGAAAGGAGCGGGAGTAGGCAAAGAGGCTGGAACTAGGGGTCTGGTGGGGGTGGGGCTGGGGCTGGGGCTGGGGCTGGAGGTTGAGAGAACTCAGCCCGAGGCTCTAACCACCATCCTCTGTGCCCAGGTCCCGCCCACCCGACTGGGCGTTGCAGGTCAGGGAATGGGCTGGCTGGCGAGGACGGTGACGGCTGCTACGTGCAGCTTCCGCGCTCCCGGCAGACCCTGGAGCTGTCCGCGCTGACCGCGCCCACTCCTGGGCCAGGATACGGCCCCCGGCCCTACCAGGCCAAGCTGTTGGCTAAGAAGCGCGTGGTGCGGATGTTGCTGGTGATTGTTGTGCTTTTTTTCCTGTGTTGGTTGCCACTGTACAGCGCCAACACATGGCGTGCCTTCGACAGCTCTGGCGCACACCGCGCACTTTCAGGGGCGCCAATCTCTTTCATCCACTTGCTCAGCTACGCCTCAGCCTGTGTCAACCCCCTGGTCTACTGCTTCATGCACCGTCGCTTTCGCCAGGCCTGCCTTGAGACGTGTGCCCGCTGCTGCCCCAGGCCTCCACGCGCTCGCCCCAGGCCTCTTCCCGATGAGGACCCTCCCACCCCTTCCATTGCTTCACTGTCCAGATTGAGCTACACCACCATCAGCACACTAGGGCCTGGCTGAGGCGCAGAGGAGGAGCGGAGGCTAAGGCGGGACACCCCCATTCCTACAAGCAGGGACCCATCCAGACACACAGGAGACACACACCCACTGACACCCAAAAGCATGGACTAATCCCAGTGCGCGTGCACACGCACACACACGCACAGTTGGCTTACCTGACACAAACTAAACTCCCACACAGGAAATTAGGCACACTCTTGATATGGGACTGAGCCTGGCACACACAAACATGGCACTGACCTTAGACATACACACACACAGCATCCCTAGCAATGGACTATCCGTACTTAGCGGAAACGCAGGGAGGCTGGCCTGCCTCTCGTATACACACAGTAATGGCACTGATTCTTTAAGGCTCCGGAGCCGGGCACCGTACCAAGTCCTGAGATGCTCCAGGCCACCCCCAGTTTGACCTCACAGTGCCCTTCCCCATTTCAGCACTGAAAATACCACCCAGCCTAATCTCACACCTCCTGACCCAACAGACTGTTCTGCACTGAAAAGTCCCTTCATTCCTTTCCAGTTCCATACTATGGCCCTGCCCCTCTTCCCTCACCCAAACTCTTTGAGAAATAAAAATGACTTGGCTTCCTCCTGAACTTCCTTTCTGGACTTTTTCTGGGGGGCAGATGAGGGGCACAGGGTTTTGTAGAATACTCCCTGTCAGGTCCCTCTTCCTGCTGCTTCTGTGCATGACCACCTGCCAAGAAGCCCATGGTCTGAGGCTTGAGGGGGATGTGGGTATTTTCTCTGGGTCATCATCCTGGACTCACCTAAACGCCAGTGTCACACACGGTAGCTGGTCGTAGGGGTTGCAGTAGGATATCCATGATATGTGATATATATCCTAGCATATTCTCCTGAAGCTGTGCTACTGCGAAGATACTATATTAATAGATACTTACTCAAATTTAATTGACATGGTATGAGGAAACACTGTATAATAAGCTTTGGTTTATTTGATGTGTGTTTGCAACACCAGGGTTCAGATCATGATAGGTGTACAGAGGTTAAAGAGTGGGACATTTTTTATGCACTCTTCTCTGCGTCAGAATCTGGCTAAGCTTCTGCCTGGAAGCACCTTTACTGGCCAGCAACAAAGCAGGGAGGCGGATACTGGATCCAAACAGGAGGAATCCCAGAGCCTGGCCCCCTTTTGATTGTAAGACTGATCCAGCCCCAGAAAGAGGCAAGAGACAGCAACATCATCCCTCCACACACACACACACACAATGACAGGGAAGAACAGATGCCCTCACCAGAGAACATACATGATAATCAGAAATATGATATGTTGGGAGGCTTTCTTGACACTTCGTCTTGTGACAGATGGGGAAACGGAGACTCAGAGTAGGAAAGAAAGCTGTTCAAGATCATACAATAAATGAGAACAAGGCAGAAAAAATCGTACTGAAGTAGACACTGAGCTAGAGATGGGAAAGAAACCATCAGGAGGCAGACCTAAGTTTTGTGAGGCCTGGCGCTTATAAAACTGGGTGTTTTTCTTTCTTCCTTTCTTTCTTTTTTTTATTAAAAAGAATAGAAAATGCTAGGACACTGACCAGGGCTTGGAAGGTGCCTGTGCAGTGAGGAGCCCTGAGATTCAAGGCTCACTGACCTCACAGACAGTACCACCTCCAACTCCTCCCACTAACTAGGCTGGACAAAGGCCCGGTGGAGTGAAGGACAGTGAGAAAGGAGAGTGGTCTTCTGTTTACCAGTGCTGAGGCTGCTTCCATCCATCCTTTCTACAGGGCCCTGGGCTGTAAGAGGCAGGACGCAGGAAGAAAAGGAGGGAGAAAGTGTTCCAAGCTGTCAACGACAACAGTGCTGGTTAAAAATAGAATCCCAGCTGGTCTGACTTGCTGAAGGCAAGATATTGGGCCTTTCTCTCTCATGCCAACTTTTCCAGAGGGTGGAGATAGGGTTGCTCACAGGCTTTGCCACACTCTCAAGGAGATTGCCTTGATGATACTGCTCTACTGTCAGCCCCTCCAGCTGGGGCCTGGGCTCCTGATGACCACCAGATGGCAGTGGGAAGCTCCATGGGGTAGGGCTCCAAGTCCAGCCTCAGCCTGGAGTGTGAGCTGAAGTCCTGTGGCCCAGGGCTAGCCTAGAACCTAGCACAAAAGCATGGCCTGAATAATACGATTTCACACAGTGTGGTGAATAACATGATTTCACACACAGTGTGGCCCTTTGGTCTACAGAATACTTACACATCCATCACCTCCACCCCCCGCACCCCACCCCAGGCCCTGTCAAGTGACCTGATGTGGAATCTCAGGGACTTCCCTTCCATTTTCTATCTCTTGAAATCTGTCAAACATTTCAGATCAATTTAGTATCTCTGTCTCTACAAAGTCCTTTTTGTTCATCCTCACAAAGCTTATCTGTTCCTAGTACTTACTGCTTTCTCTCTTCAATCATTCATTCGTGTTCCTGCCTGGTTTCTGATACTGGGCTGGGAACAGCGTGATGTGGTGGGAAGATGACAGAGCCTGGGCTGGAAGGCGAGGGTGACAGAGGGGGAGGGTAGAAAATCTAGCACTTCTCGGGGCCATGTGACAGGCATCTTACATACACCAATTCACTTCATTCTCAGACCTCTCCTACAGAATATTTCTCTTAGACAGAAGAGGAGGGTGAAGCTGAGAAAGCTTAGCGGAGTTACATGAGGTCCTGCGCTTGGAATGTGGGAAACACTGAGCTCAGGTGGTGCCTACCTCCAAAACCTTTGCTCTTCCCAGCCATGCTGTGTTGTCTTTGAAGCCTTAAAGACCTGGGTTCCAATGGGCCTGACCTGCCTTTTAAAAGTTGGGTGATTTTGTGCAAGTTCTCTCAGTGGCTCAGTCTCAGCTATTAACCAGGGATGATTACATTAACTTCTGTGATATGTGACTTACAGTAAGAAATATACATTCAGTCTTCATCCCCTTTCCTGGCACAGAGCTCCTAAAACCCATGGAATTTCCTAAGTGATGAGAGCCAAAAAGTGCCTGTTGACAAGTTAATGTGCTGACTTTCCCAAAGGCCACTTTAAGAATGGGCTGGTTGGGGACACCTGGGTGGCTCAGTGGGCTAAGCCTCTGCCTTCGGCTCAGGTCATCATCCCAGGGTCCTGGGATCAAGTCCTACATCGGGCTCTCTGCTCAGCAGGGAGCCTGCTTCCCCCTCTCTCTCTGCCTGCCTCTCTGCCGACTCTCTGTCGAATAAATAAATAAAAACTAAAAAAAAAAAAAGAATGGGCTGGTTGCAGTGACATACTTGATATAGGGTTAGTCTCCAAAATCTATAAATCTATAAAGAACTTACGAAACTCAACACCCCAAAAATAAATAATCCAGTTAAGAAATAGGCAGAACGTAGTATCCAAAATCTATAAAGAACTTATCAAAAACAACACCCAAAGAACAAATAATCCAATCAAGAAATGGGCAGAGGACATGAACAGACATTTCTGCAGAGAAGACATCCAAATGACCAACAGACACATGAAAAAAAATGCTCAGCATCACTAGGCATCAAGGAAATACAAATCAAAACCACAATGAGTTACCACCTCACACCAGTCAGAATGGCTAAAATTAAGAAGTCAGGAAACAACAGGTGTTGGCAAGGATGCGGAGAAAGAGGCGTGCTCCTACACTGTTGAGGGGAATGCAAGCTGGTGCAGCCACTCTGGAAAACAGTATGGAGGTTCCTCAAAAAGTTGAAAATAGAACTACCCTATGACCCAGCAATTGCACTACTGGGTATTTACCCTAAAGATACAAACGTAGTGATCCGAGAGGGTACATGTGTGCATCCCAATGTTTATAGCAGCAATGTCCACAATAACCAAACTGTGGAAAGAGCCATGATTTCCATCAACAGATGAATGGATAAAGAAGATATGGTACATATATACAATAGAATATTATGCAGCCATTAAAAAAAACCCACAAAATCATTCCATTTGCAATGACATGGATGGAACTAGAGGCTATTATGTTAAGTATGGAGGTTCCTCAAAAAGTTAAAAATAGAACTACCCTATGATCCAGCAATGCATTACTAGGTATTTATCCAAAGGATACAAAATTCTGATTTGAAGGGGCACATGCACCCTGATGTTTATAGCAGTATTATCAACAATAGTTAAATTATAGAAAAAGCCCAAATGTCCATCAACAGATGAATGGATAAGAAGTGGTAAACACACACATACACTATATATATATATATATACACATACGCATACACACACATATACACATATATATACTTATGTGTATATATACATATGTGTATATATGTGTATGTATATATCTGTAACAGAATATTACTCAGCCACCAAAAAGAATAAAATCTTGCCATTGTAATGATGTAGATAGAACTAGAGGGTATTATACTAAGTGAAATAAGTCAGATAAAGACAAACCATATGATCTCATTCATATGTGGAATTTCAGAAACAAAACAGATGAACATAGGGAAGGAGAAAAAAAAGAGAGAGAGGGAAGTAAACCACAGGAGACTCTTTTTTTTTTTTTAAGATTTTATTTATTTATTTGACAGACAGAGATCACAAGGAGGCAGAGAGGCAGGCGGAGAGAGAGGGGGAAGCAGGCTCTCCACTGAGCAGAGAGCCCGATGTGGGGCTCGATCCCAGGACCCTGAGATCATGACCTGAGCTGAAGGCAGAGGCTTAACCCACTGAGCCACCCAGGCGCCCCCCATAGGAGACTCTTAACTAGAAAACAAACAGAACCGATGGAGGGAGGTGGGTGGGGGATGGGCTAAATGGGTGAGGAGCATTAAGGAGGGCACTTGTGCTGGGCACTGGGTGTATGTAAGTGATGAATATGTAAGTGATGAATCACTAAATTCTACACCTAAAACCAATTTTATCATGTATGTTAACTAACTAGAAGTTAAAACATGGCGGGGGGGGGGGGGGGAGATTGGACTGGTTGCCAAAAGAACCAATCAGGTGATTGGGGGTTAGAATTTTCAGCCCTACTCTCTGAGCTTCAGGGAGGGGAGGTAAGCTGGAAATTCAGTTCCAGCACCAATGGTCAATGGATTAATCAATTATGCCTACATAATGAGGTCTCCGTAAAAATCAAAGGACAAGCTTTGGACAGCTTCCAGGTTGGTGAACACATGGAGATTGGGGAGGGTGGCATGGAAGACTTGGAGAGGACATGGAAGTTCTGTGCTCCTTGCCCAGACCTTTCCCTATGCATCTCTTTCATCTGGCTATTCCTGAGTTATATTGTTTTATAATAAACTGGTAATCTAGTAAGTAAAATGTCTCTCTTGAGTTCTGTGAATGCTCTGGCAAATTAATTGAATCCAAGGAAGGGATTTTGGAACCTCCAATCTATAGCCAGTTAGTCAGAAGCACAGGTGACAAGTTGGACTTAAAATTGGCATCTGAAGTAAGGGGACCACTGCATGACTAAGCCCTTAATCTGTGGGATCTGACACTATCTCTAGGTAGATAATGTCAGGATTGAGTTAAGTTGTAAGGACATCCAGCTGGTATCAGAGTATTGCTTATTGGTGTGGGGAAAAAAATACAAGGTAATTAGTGTCAGAATCATAACTCACA